AATACAAAAGACACAGTGTGAGGAGAGGGGAGAGGGCGAAAGGGAGAACAAAGACCAGCCAATTGATTTTGCATGTAAAAAAAAAAAACACTTGGCAAAAGATTAAAAAAAACAAGCAAGGTACTCACAGCAGTGCACTTCAGGGGAGACAGTCAATACAGAGCTGAGTCCTGTCTGATCCACTGCAGTCCTCCTTCAATGGTGCTAAAAATGTGTGGAGGGTGAGCCCAGTCCTCAATGGTTGCTCTGCAGAAGTGAGCGGGTCCAGGGTACTGCTTTAAATCCTGGTCGGGTGTCACTGGTTGGTCTCTGGCCGAAAATTACAGGCAAGATTGTAGCAGGCTGGACCTGGGATGCGCTCCAACTGGGGAAAAAAAGGCACGTGTGCCGCTGAGGGGGAATCCTGTGGAGAGGGGGCCAGGGTGCTTCTCCAGGTATAGGTCTGAGGTGTCTGGCTAAGCTTCGTGTGGGAAGTAGAGGCTGCAAGTGACGGGTGAATTAAGTGTGTATGCAGCGGCTCCATTAGATTGTACTATGGAAAAGGGAGGGAAGCAAGACATGAAAGATGGAGAAAACAGGAAAGGGACTAAACGACGGGCCTCTTTCTCAAGCCCAAAAACAACAATGTGGAACATGAAGGTGGTGGGAAACACTGGGCAGGTTTAAAACTTGTGGGAGGAGCCAGGTCCCAGGAAGTAAACGAAAGATGATTGGAAAGAAGTGCAGGGAAATCAAGGCAAGATGAATTGGACCCACACGTAATTTGGGACTATGGGAAAGACGAGACGCAGGGATGTAGAAGCGTGGGAAAAGCAAATTAAATAAAGGTGAAAATGGAGTAAGTGGAGAAGACTGCACAAAAATATTTTAAAGGTTTAAAAAAAAAAAAAAAAAAGCATAGGCCAGGGGAAGGAGCTATAAAATGGTATGGATATCCAAATCCTCGTTGAGATCTGTGGGAGATAATATATACAGTGTGCAAACCCAATAAGCCTTTTGCTTACAGAGCCTGTGGAAATGCTCAGGGGCCGGAATGTTGCCTGGAATGTGTTCGATGGTAGACACTTGTAGATCCTCAAGTCTTTTTCTTATGTTTTAGAGTAAAATGACGGGGCGCACTACCGTGTTTCCCCGAAAATAAGACAGTGTCTTATTTTTATTTTTTTTTTACGAAAAAAGACACTAGGTCTTATTTTTGGGGGATGTCTTACCTGGCTGCTGCTGTCCACTCTGCCGTCCAGGGAGCCACAAACAGAAACACAGGTGTCAATTAATTCACCCATCACTTACAGCCTCTACTCCCCACACGGAGCTTAGCCAATCACAAACCTATACCGGGAGAAGCGCCCTGCCAACAGGCCCCCTCCCACCTCGGTTCTCCAGGATTTCCCCACCTCACCTGCCTTTTTTCCAGGAGGGGCCACCACATGCATCCCCAGTCCAGCACAACATCTTCAGACTGTGATGCTCTTGCCTGTCATTTTTGGACAGACACCAACCACTGACACCCGACCAGAACTGGAAGCAGTACGCTGGACCCGCCCACTTCTGCAGACCTTAAACAGCCCCGATGCTGGCGACGTACACTGTACGTCGTCAGTCACGAAGGGGTTAATGACCAGGTTCACCCTCCACTGTTTTCTAGCATTTCATGTGAAATCTTAGCACCTTCAATATTGTCTCACTACAATCATTGCATACCTGTTTGGGTTAGATTGTTTTTCTTAGAAGGATGACAGAGATTGGGCGAGAAATATGATAGACAAATGTAAAGAAGTCAAAGTGACTAGTGCAACCCAAAATGTCAAATAAAAGTTAGCATAACTCCAAAGATATATTCCAAAACAGATTTAGATTTAAGCAGACCCACCCCTTTAGTAACCTAGCCTGTTACCTACTCTACCTTACCAACCTAAGGCACAAAAATTGCCCCCTCACCATTATTAGTTCCTGGCTAACTCAGCTTTCCTTGAACGCCAAGATCATTACTGGGCCTAGTTCTGAAGATGAGCCAGAATAACAGTAAGGCAAGTGTTGGGAGGACCAAGGGTGACTTTCACTTAAAGGGTTATTAAACCCTCACCGTGTTTTTGCATATATCTACTGCTATTTTTGTAAAAGAGCTTGGTCTCCTGTGACAGCCGACTCCTCCCCTGCACAGCTGGCCCAGCCTCCTGTGACAGCTGTCTCCACCCTCACACTGCTCTCCTGATCTATCACAGGAAGCTGAGTGGCCTCTTGTGACATGCCGGCCGCTCATTTCGCTCTCCTCCACCGCACCGCTCGGCCTCCTGTGAGTTTCTCTCCTCCCCACTGGATGCTGCGCTGTCAGAAGGGACACAGAGCAGCGCCCAGTGCGGAGGAGAGAAACCAGGCATGCACCACAATTTCGGCCAAAAGATGGAACTTTCGGCATTTTGCCAAACACGCTGTTTTCGGCCGAAATTTCCGTGCATCCTTATTTAAAACGTGCACCTGCAGTAAATGTTTGGCGAGTATCAGATTCACTGCTTTATAATTCTGCCCCTTAGTGTTTAACTGCACTTCCACAGTACATTTTGGTCACGCTTATGAAACGGTCAAGTTCTCTTAACGTATGAAGTACTATGCTTCTACAAGGCTACACACAGGCAGATCTCTCACTGAACAGGGTGGAGAGCAACAACACCGCTAATTCACACCTTTCCCTTTTTTCTGTAGAAAGGGAAGAATTGACATGTCACAAACTGGAGAATTTGTCTTTGTGTTCATTATCGCAGGTCTTCACCTAAAAGAGACAAGAAATGATCCTGGCAAGGATTGCTTACAAAGATTGAGGTATGCATGACCATCCTCAAGCTATTTTTCTATCTCTTGCAGATAATGTAAAGGCGTTGTTTAAGCGGGGACGTGCTCATGCCGCAGTGTGGAACGCATCAGAGGCAGAGCAGGACTTCTCACGTGCAGTTGAACTGGACCCATCACTTGCTCCACTTGTTGCAAAAGAGTTGAAGCAGCTTGAAGCACGTATACAAGAGAAGGAATGTGAGGACAAAGCAAGATTTCGCGGAATATTCGAATGACTTTCAGTAGCAGCAAATTCATAGGTCAATGCGCCATTTCATGTGGCAGTAACTTGTTATGGACATGTGACTGGCACAATATATCAATTGTCATAGCCAAAAGATGGCAAACATCTTCCTTTCCAAAATGTAAGTTGCAGATCAGGTCAATGGTATTGTTTACAAGGCACAATGATTGTTTAGAACACAACACTGAGCAAATATCAGGAAAGCACTGCTCTCAGATCGAAAGGAAAGCTATATATTGTCCTGTAATAAGTCAACATTGCAGTAAGTAACTATATGCCATGTTAAAACCATGTCTATCATAACAATGAAAATTGCTGTAGAGGCAAGACAAACCACCTAGCATCAAATATGTAACAATCAAGAGTAACTTTATTTGCTTTTTATAGATTAAAAAAAAAAAGGGAGGAAAAAAAATTAGAAAGTGCAGAGCTAGAAAGAGGTCACGTACGAGCGTTGCGTTCTGTTTCAGCGAGACACTCTCTCACGAGAGCCCTAGCATGGATTATACCTGGAAAGTACAAAGGAAATGTTTAGCTACAGATTACAAATCAGAAAAAAAAAAAAAGTCTTGCAGGTAAAATGATTTTTAACCCTTACCTCTTTTTAATCTTTCCATGGCACTTTTGCTTCCAGCATAGGTGGGTCTGATCTCTCTGCCCATCTCCTCAATCACAGACAGCAGGTCGCTGTAGGTCCCCTGAGACACTGCTTGTGACACAGCTGGCTTCACTCCCTGCATAAGACAGAAAAGTCGACAACTTTCTTTTGGCCCAACAAGATATTCCAGTATTTTGTATTGTTTGTATATTTATAGCACTGCATGCAAGTCTGTGTACTCAAATAAACAAGAAATAAGTCAAACGTTTCTAGTTACATGGTCTGTCACTATGCATGTTAACTGCTCAAACATATGTTGGGTGTCAACAATTTAAAAATATATCATACATACAGTATATTGCCCAGACAATTAAATTCATGGGTTTTACTTTAACTGGAAAAACCTGAATACTAGTGGCAATAAATACTTGTTCCCGATACTCTACTAAGGTTATGTTCACACTAGCCAGCCCAAATGCCCCGTTTTAGTGGGCAGGAAAGTATGTTGTGACAGGTCTAGCAGTTGGGCAGTGTAATGCACTGTCTCCACTTTATTTGGAATGTACAAACAGTACACTTCATTCAGGTTATCGCACTGTAACAGTGTGACCTGCGCTGCCATCCAGTGCAGTTACTTCCCTATGTACTCCATTTACACCACAACATGGGTGTGATGTGCTATGATCTGTGGAAAAATGCAGACATAATACATTTTTGCAGCGCACATCACACAACTGCATTGTGGTTTGAACAGAACACAGAACAATTGTTTTCTTTTTTATATGCTATGCATTTTTCTTGTGTAGAACAGTGTGAACATAGCCTTACTATGAAGGAATCCTGGCATTTAACTTTGTGTTGAATTTTCTCATCCACCCAAAACTCAACTGATAAAAAAGGGAAGAATTATAACTGCTGGAGAAAACGTTTCTTACCGGTATAAAGCCCATAGAAGGGGGTCCAAAGTCACTGAAGTTGAGTCGGAAGGAAGAGACTGGCACAGCTCCTGATGGGGATGAAACCGCAGCTCCAGGCACTGCAAACCACATCAGATGAGGGGATGAGATGCTTGATGACTGCACACAACAGCTAGCCATCCACAGTAATAACATTGCAAGGCCACAATATGCACATAACAGGCGGGAAATGTGGATGAAGAGATTTGTGACAAAAAGGTGAAATTGATTATTCTAACAGCATTATTAATGCACAGGTATAAAACACAAGACTCAGAAAGCACAGACTGAACAAAAGGATAGGCCAGATGTCGTCTTTCCACCCATTACTCTTGGTATACCACAACCCTTTTCCCAATTTCAGAGGAATATGTCACGCATGCATTTTGGGCTTTTTTATGGCACAATATAGTGGCAGTCACTTGGAAGCACTGACTAGTTACTCTGTTAACTTGTTTTGATCAAATGTAGAAGTTATTTAAATTGCAAAAAGTACATTAGTAATCTGGCAGGATGAGATTAAGGTGATCAATCATAACAGGTATGCTGCATGTAAATAATCAATACCTTTTTAACAAAGTGAAGATAGTTTTTCCTGTCCTGGGGCTGCTACTGCTGACCTCCTGAATACGCCATCTGCCTTGGCTGTCATTCTTATCCTCAGGCTTCAGTTGGTTGCAACATAAGTGTTCTGGATCAGTGACTCCGTACTGAAGCCTGCTTAATAAGTATAGATTAGCAGGGATTCATTTAAGGTGGCCATACACTGTGCAAAATCCAGACAAAAGTTGCACAGTGGGTGTCTGTCGGCACCCTTTTAGCTGGCATCCCTCAATCAGCTGATCAAAGGAGTCTGTCGGAAAATCTTCGTGCGAATAGAGCCGGCAGCCAAGGACTGGTAAGCTGCAATATATACATTTTGTTTTTGGTGTTAAGACACGCTTTAAAGGGTTAATCTAAAGATCAGGTTAATTTTAGGGCTTACGTAAGTTTACGACTTAAGGTTAGAGCCAAGTTACCATTAATGGTTAACGGGAGTGCAAGGTCCAGGTTTTTTTTGCCAGAATTTGATTCTGGGTTCTCAGTAATGAAGGCCAACATACCGAAACACCTTTTCAGTCATTGGAGTCCGATTCACAGACTTACAAATAGGCAGCAATGCCGACATATGTAGTAAGCAAAAATTGCTGTCACCACATCTATATAGTAAAACCAGATGATCAGCAATACACAGGCAAATTCAGCCTTATTCGCATAACAAGTCCCCTTAAAAAGACACTAAAATGGGCAGATTTTCTTGAAAGCTCACCCCCCAAGGGACTTATTCTCCTTGGACCTCCAATTGTGTTTGCTGTGTTATTCCAGTGACAATGCTCTAAGATGGGAATTCCACTCATTTTAGAGAGATTTCCTAATTTCCTGTTGCATTTCCAGGACAGGAAGTCAAGCACAATCTCATCAGGGCACAGGCAGCAAAAAATAACTTGGCAGGGGTTTAAATCCTTCCCTACCACATCCTAAAGTGGGGGGAAAAAAATGTTGCTGTTAAAGTCCCCCCCCCCACAGTGCTAATGTAAGGACTTACCTTAAATGATGCCTCTTAATCTCATCATCTTCATCTTTCCAGGAGTTTTTAAACTGTCCCTCCATCGCTGGTGCGTGTCTCGGATCCAGAGCCGACTCCTCGGTCTTCTTCTCCGATGTCCCACGGTGTCTGTGCGGGTGCACACTGCGCCATAGACTTACCTTGTGTCTCCCCTAGTCTCCCAGCTGAACATCGGAACTGCACATGCGCCCGCCCCAAGATCCTTTGCGGCCGCCCGAGAAATTTTCAGATGTTCGGATGGGAGCCTGCGGCGGAGACACAGGTAAGAATGAACCCTTAGAAAAAGTGTTTTTTTTTTTACATCGTTTTGCATACATCTACTGCTTGCTAGCAGTAGATACATGCAAAAACAAATGAGGAGTTTAATAACCATTTAAATACATTTTTAGCTTTAAAATGTATTTCACAAAATAGATATATACACTTTAAAGAGAGTCTACCATTTAGGGCAATAGATTTTAAGAACCTTCCACCCATGGAGGAATACTTTAGAGAAGAACTCCAGGAAATAAATTGTATTAACCCCTTGCAGTGCTCGTTTGTGCCTAGGTGCAAATAGTGAAGAGTTTGCTTGTTGAGACAAACCTATGGACTGCTAAAATATATTAGATCACATAAAGAAATACATTTTCATGTTAAGATCTACTTTTCAAATGACGAGCTACATGAGATCTACCAACGAAAAAAAAACAAAACCTCCCTCTATCTCTCTCCTCGCTCTCTCCCCCGGCTGTCTCTCCTCGCTCTCTCCCCCGGCTGTCTCTCCTCGCTCTCTCCCCCGGCTGTCTCTCCTCGCTCTCTCCCCCGGCTGTCTCTCCTCGCTCTCTCCCCCGGCTGTCTCTCCTCGCTCTCTCCCCCGGCTGTCTCTCCTCGCTCTCTCCCCCGGCTGTCTCTCCTCGCTCTCTCCCCCGGCTGTCTCTCCTCGCTCTCTCCCCCGGCTGTCTCTCCTCGCTCTCTCCCCCGGCTGTCTCTCCTCGCTGTCTCTCCTCGCTGTCTCTCCTCGCTCTCTCCCCCGGCTGTCTCTCCTCGCTGTCTCTCCTCGCTCTCTCCCCCGGCTGTCTCTCCTCGCTCTCTCCCCCGGCTGTCTCTCCTCGCTCTCTCCCCCGGCTGTCTCTCCTCGCTCTCTCCCCCGGCTGTATTTTGCAAACAGTGCAGTGAAACAGGCTGTGTAAACTAATATTCTTTGATGTAACAAATAGCACCTCAACCACCAGAAAGGTGTCAGGGAGCTTGGCTCAGCAGACTCATGTGTGCACAGCTAAATAAATATACCAAAATGGAATAAAGGGGCCGCCATTCACACCCTTCGTGATCTACCAGCATCAGCTTTGAGAGGTACTGGTAGATCACAATCTACCTAATGGACACCCCTGCCCTAGATTGTTCACTTCTCCTGCCTTCTCGCACCCTTCACCCTTTTGTGAATAACCCTGTATAAAACTTTCTTTAGCACCTAGACAAAAGAAAGCACCCAACCCTTGCAGTGCAGGGGTAGCCCCACTGCAAGGGTTAACATTTTTAACTGGAGTTCTTCTTTAATACTGTTTACGCTCCAACATTTAACTTGCAAAGGTTTAGGGCACAGTGCAACAATGTAGCTAGAGCTGCAGCAAACCATTATTTTCAAAATCGATTAGTTAGCCGATTATTAAGTTCGATTAAATTGGTTAAAAAATAAAATACATTTTTAAAAATGGCTCTAGTGATGGGACTACTAGTTTGTATTGAGATTGTAGTCCATCACAGGAGCAAGCTTGGAGCGGTGGAAGTAAAAAATAAAAAAGTGTGGTGTGCAATATAGTGAGATAAAAAGTGTAAAATTATACAACAATGATGAAGAATGGCATTGGCTATAGAGGACTACAAAACCCAGCAATAGTACATTATACAGCACAATGCAGAATACCACAAGCTATATAGGAATACAACAAACCCCAGCAATACATTATACATACAGTGTATAATGTATTGCTGGGATTTTTTTGTATTCCTCTATAATATACAGCACAATGTGCCATCAGCTATAGAGGAATACAAATCCCAGCAATACATTATAGAGCACCATGTGTGGGAAAGCTTACATGAGCAGTCTTCCAGCAACTTGTTTCTGAGATCGGGACTGTCTATCGGCGGCTGTCATCCGCCCACACCTGCTCCTCCATACTTCTACCCGCGTCTCTGTGCCAATCGTAGATGTGGGCGGGCAGTGAGCGTGAGGCGGGGAGGAGGTGCTGCGCGTGGATGCGGCCGGGCGAGTCTGGCAGCAGCGATATGAGGTGGGGAGGAAGTGTGGAGCAGTGAACAGGGCCAACCAATGGGAAGCCGATTAAATCGATGATTGAAAAAGTTGACAACTTTTTCAATAATCGATTATGTTGATTAGTTGTTGCAGCCCTAAATGTAGCCATGATAATGCATAGGGAAAGTGGGTATCAGTAGGTGTGGGGTTTTCTTACAAGAGAACCTGTCACTTCGCTCTCAATAGGTAAACATTACAGACTAATGAGATGTTTTTTCTTTTGCCCATTCAGAGCAAAGTGAAATGGTTAAAATATATGAGTAGGCAAAATCTAAACAAATTCCATACAGCTCACCAATATATGAACACCCCCCCCCATCTTTTGTTTCTAAGTATTTAAAGTATTGAAAAATATCTGGTGATTCTGCCACAAATACAGTCAGCTGACAAAACCGTCACTGCTGCACTAAAATAACAGGAGGAGGAGCTGAAAAGAAGGCAAGCAGCTGCTATGGAAAGGGAACGTGAGCTGCAAATATAAAACAAGGAATAATGGAGATGAGGAGATTGGGGCGTTCTGGTGTAGTCTAGTAGGAGATGAAGTAAGAGGGATGTGCTGAGGTAGTTTAGGAGGAGAGAGGGACATACTGAAGTAGTCTGGGAAATGAGCAAGGGGCGTATTGACAGTCTAGGAGGAGATGAGAGAGGAACACGGTGTCATAGTCCAGGAAGAGATGAGGAGAGAGGGGCATGCTGGTGTAGTCTAGAAGGATGGGCGTGCTGAAGTTGTCTAGGAGAAGAGGGACGTGTTGTCGTAGTCTAGGAGGAGATGAGCAGAGAGGGGGTGTGCTGACTTAGCCTAGGAGATAACGTACTATGTCACCACGCCACCCTCTGCTCATCTCCTCCTAGACTACATCAGCACGTTCCCCTCTCCTAGACTATCGTAGTCTAGAATGAGAGAGGGGCGTGCTGAATTAGTTTAGGAGAGAGGGATGTAGAGGTAATATATGAGGAGAGGGGCAATGCCGCCGCAGTCTAGGAGGGGACGGGCAGAGAGGGGCAATGCCGACGCAGTCAAGGAGCGGACAGGCAGAGAGGGGCAATGCCGACGCAGTCTAGGAGGGGACGGGCAGAGAGGGGCAATGCCGACGCAGTCTAGGAGGGGACGGGCAGAGAGGGGCAATGCCGACGCAGTCTAGGAGGGGACGAGGAGAGAAGGATATATTGACGCAGACTAGAAAGATGAGCAGAGAGGTGCATGCTGACACAGGCTAGAAGGTGATTGCACCGAGGTATGATCGTTTGCAGCTAATCGAAGCATCTGCGATTACATGTGAACAGTCGCAGGTTGTTTTAGCTGTCACTGTATTGTACAGCACCTCCCACCCTCAGCTGATCGCTTGAGTCGCATGGAGGAATTTGTGACACTCATGCGATCGTCCCAATTTGTGGATGGGGTCTAAATTACCCTGCAACTTAGCTCTACATGGGCAAAATAAAAATGGGTCAATCTTACAAATGGACAATCTTTAAAAAAAAACAAAAAAACCCACATACAACAAAATATTCTGCCAAAAGTCTAGAAAACATTATCATATCTCTAGGCTGCCTTTAGCTGGCCACACACAATCAGACTTCACTTCAGATTTGATTTGCCAGATCAACAAAGTTTGTGTTAGCATAAAACAAATGCGATCTGTTCAGGTAAAATACATGTGGTTACCTTGCCTGTGCAAAGACTGACAATATTACCGTATATAGCAACCTAACTCCATCTTTCACTGGTGACTGGCTACTCTGCTTTGTCAGAGATGCCTTCATAGCCGTGTAAAGGAGTAGGAAGTATAAAAGGAAAGGGGCTCAATTACCAGGGGTGACAGGGATGCCCGGAGCGTTGCTGCTCCCTGCTGCTGGAGCCGGAGCAATCGGCTTGTACGACATGTCCGGCTGGAAGTGATGAGGATGATGATGATTGGCTGCTCGTCAGCGGTGTGTCGCGCGCCGCTCTGGGCTGTGCAGCGTATTCTATGGCAGGAATGTCCGGGGTCGCCGCTATCTTCTCTCCCACCCACTCGTTGACCACTCTGGATGATTACCACCGCTACAGACCTCAATAGGCCCTCACACACTGTTTCCGCGGAACTATTCTTTGGTCAGAACGCGTCCGTCTATGGTCGGTTTTTCCCGGTCGTAATGGCGCCAGTCCGCTCTCAACCTCCTCACCTCAGCTCACCCGGCTCCAGCTGCCCCTACGCGCCCCTGACGTCATGACGTCGTAAACCGGCTAAAGCCCGGAGCTCCGCCCCAAAACAGATGAAAGTTGCTTATAGCCCCGCCCAATCACTGAGGAGGGCGGAGCCAGAACTCAGCTCTATTGGAGAATTTACAATGAGTAAGTTCTTACAAGACGTTTCTTATATCTGTGACTAGTGACAAAAATAGCTCCAGATTCAATAGTACAGACACCTCTGTAAATTGGTCCTAAACGGACAGAACTGGTTCCACTAGACACACATAGCAGTGCTTTTGCATATCTGCTTTATAGAGTCTATTGTCAGGATAAATCAGAATTAATTCACATAATAAAAATTTGGTACAGTGTAAACTATCATTCGACATGAAGCATAGTAGAACCGAATTCAACACCTTTTTTTTTTAGTTTTGAATAGAGTAAGGGAAGGTTGTAACCCCTGTCAGATTTTGTTTTTTCATTGGGAGATTTCCCTTTACTTCCTTTCCGATAGCCACAACAGGAAGTGAGAGGAAATCCCTGGTGGTCACCAGGTTCACCAGAACTAGTTTCCCCATTGGAAGGTTTCCCGTCTATTCCTGTTCTGGTGACAATTCAAGATTTGGGATTTTCTTTCACTTTCAGTGATAACAGTCACCAGAACAAATGAAGGGGGCACAGGCAGCAATAAAATCTTCAGGGCTAGTTCACACCAATTGCGGTGCCTTCCAGAGCGGTAGCTGCTGGAACGCACCACAATCGCTCACAAAACTTCCCCCTGCGTTCTGGGGCAGTAGGGGGCGTGGCGGTGCATTGAATTCAATGGCACGGCTTCCACGCCCTCCCCGCAGTGCGATTGGACGCATGGGAAAACATTGCCTGCGTTCCGTTCCACTGCAAATGCAAAAAAATGCTGCTTGCTCTATTTTTTGCATTTGCAGTGGAACAGAACGCAGGCAATGTTTTGCTATGCGTCCAATCGCACTGCGGGGAGGGCAGGTGGCAACCTCTTCCCAGCGGGTGGACGTACATGTACGTGATCTTTTTTCTGCTCGTACCCGCGCAAGCCGAATCCCACTGTGTATGTAAGTAGCCGGTACCGGCTGTGAAATACAAGCATTCGGCCGGCTCTAAAGCTGGCCGATTGCTTGTATAACATCATACAGTGTGCAACAATTTCAGAATAAATGTTTCAGAATAATGTTCAATGTAAAATTGCAAAGACTTTAAATATACCTCTGGATTATTTCCATCAGAACCTGCGCCTTACTCAAAGCAGCATTAGTCTGATAAGATTAGCAAACTAAATCCTGTCAAGCAGTCAACATCTATGCATCCTAAAGCTTTGGAGCATTATTTGTCTTGTAAATAGTTAGGATATAAAGTTTCTTAAAATATAAATATTTCCTACAGATTGAGAGAGAGTGATAACGGTAATGTTTTGGATGGGTATGTAGCGCTCACCTTCAAAAGGAGCCGATGGAATACACGGGTACTTCTGTCTCACCTCTGTGATAGACCTCTGGTGATGGATCCACAGCACACCTTGTGAGGTTTTGAAAAGTTTTACTAAACAAATGAGGTACGATCTAATAAATGTATGAACAGGCATTGGCGTCACAAGGGGGGGGTGACACCATTGAAGGGGTGACACCAAAATTACTGACAGTCATTTCGGCGTCACCCCCCTCTGAAAAGTCGGGCGCTCGGTCATGGACTGAACCCCCGACAGTATCAGGAGAGAGGAGGGGATCCGGTGGCATACCTTATCCCGCAGGGTGACTGTCCCCTCCTCTCTCTGCCGGCGTCCATCACCAAGATGGCCGCCGGCAGGTATCAGAAGAGTGGTGCGCGATGACGTCATGCCCAGTGGCGAGTCGGCGGGGGGACACCCGGTAACCGCTCCGGGTGTCACCCAGCCTCAGGACGCCCCTGTGAACAGGTACAACAATGGCAAATAAACAGCAAGTAATAGAAGGACTTTAAATATGTTGCTGCTTATCTGCACATGCAAACAATACTGAATTGACTAATGGAATTCTATCTGAAACAGCAAACTGTGGAGGCAAAGTCTCAATTCAAACAGATCCGGGTCTTAAACCTACTGGCCAGTGGTATTTAACTAGGCTAGCCATTGGTGGGGCCCAAGTTCTGCTTGTACAGTTGGTTTAGACTGAATATCACAGTGGCCAATGGCCTCTCACCACTCTTGCAGCTTGGATAGTAGCTCTCTGTGTCGATTGGTGAAAGGAGGTGGTTTCTCCTCTCCAGCCAACAGCTTTCTAGGTCCAGCAGCTTGTGCCACACAGTAGCAGTAGCGATGCTTGCAGCACGTCTCTGTAGAATCCAATCACTCAGGAAAGGGCTGGTAGGATCTCTTTGTGGTACAGCAGTCACTGGATCCCCTCACCAGTTCATGCAGCGTTTCCCACACTGCAGAAGAATCCTTCAGCAGGATCCCTCAGTAGGAGAGCAGGCAGTCTCAGACACTGGAATCACATATACTGTTCAGCAGACAGTGATCACCAGCAACACCTCAGGTATTATCTCTCCCCTGTAATAAACTATCAGTCACCACTTCACAATACATCGAGCCGCTGGCAAATCCCTTGCTATGCCAATCTGCCCACGTTCTGAGAGTAGGCTCAGTCCCCTTTTCCTTCCAGATCACAAAGCGTCCTGGGAATGGTAGTTTAGTGCAGCATAACTTTTCATTGTCTCTTCCTGTGATGAAACTGCAACTCCCACAAACACTTTAATACTGCTGAGAGCTGAGCCAATCAAGTCTTTGTGACAACATACAGTCTTAAAGCGGTATTGCTCTTAAAAGGGAAATGACAATGGTCCCGCTACAGGTATAAATTGATAACGCCTTATATTGTTAAACTTGCCATATACTGATTGAGTTTCCCCAACTTCCATTCACACAGACAAAATTTGAGCTGTGAGTGGCCCTGTTAGCACCAACTGGTTTGTTAAAAGAAAGAAGTTCAATCAACTTTTGACAGGGAACTTAGGTGGAAAATTGTCAGCCAAACAGGGACTGAAGCTAGTGTCCCTGGGCTGTGTTGCAGCCTCCGGGGGGTTCCGCGGCCGCCATCTTGCTTAAAGGCCCTTCTGGTGATGTCACTTCCTCCCTGTGCTCGGCCTCGTGTCGGCAGCGGGAGGATGGGGCGTTTTCTCTTTCTCGGCGCGCTGGCTGCCGATGGATGTGCAGCTCTCCTCCAGAATATCCAGGGTCTCGTGGCTGTGAGGGACAGCTGCTGCTGGTGCTGCTGCTGTGACTTGGCGGTCATGAGTACTGCTGGGGTCCATCTCTGCCTACTGAGGTCTCGGTGGTCCCGGGGCAGTTAGTTTGGTGTGGGCGGTGTGTCATGGACCGCAGGGACAAGCCATTGGCTGTACCTTGTGAGGACTGCAGACTTCTCTCTGAGGATGCTTCCCATTCCCCTCTATGTGTGGCCTCTACGCCTGCATCCCTTTCCCAGTCACCAGTACTGCGTTATCCTTGGATGTTTTTTCATCCACTATGGATGGTTTTGTGACGCGCATTGAACATGCGTTGACGCAGTGGCCCCCCTATTCTTTCGGGGGAGTCGGAAGAGGAAGGGGAACTTTCCACGGTGTCGCCTCATCCTGACCCTGGGGATTCTTCCAAGTCTGAGTCGGCCAGTGAGGACGAGTCGGCCAGTGAGGACGAGTCGGCGGCTTCCCTCATGATTCAGGAGCACGCAATGGTCTCTGCTCTGAAACGTTCTTTTAGGGAGACACTCAAGATTGAGGATGCTCCTATTTTTCCGTGCTGCTGCCGGTTAAATTTGGGACGCAGAAGACTAGGCGTTCCACTAAGGTCCCCTTACATCTCCTTTGATGATTTCATTTATAAGGCCTGGAAACGGCCAACTAAGTCTTTCGCAGTGCTTAAGCATTTCTCTGTTCACTATCCTTTGGAGGAGGCCTTTTTGTCTAAATGGACATCTCCTCCTGCGGTGGATTCTCTGGTGTCACGCCTCAATAAAGCTACTGTTATTCCGGTGGAGGATTCTCCGTTGTTTCTGGATCTGTTCAACTGCAAACGCAAAAAATAGAGCAAGCCCTATTTTGTGCGTTTCCAGGGGAACGTAATGCAGGCAAAGTTTTGCCAAGCATCCGATTGCACTGCGGGCGGGGGGGAGGAGGGGCGAGGGTGTGGAAGCAGTGCCATTTAATTCAATGCACCACCACACCCTTCCCATCCCAGAACGCAGGGGGAAGTTTCGTCAGCGATCGCAGTGTGAACAAGGCCTTAGTGTTCTTCCTTTTTTACTGCTAAGTCCACTGTTTTCCTGAGCCCAGTGCGTCACTAATTCCTGAGCCCAGTGCGTCACTAATTCCTGAGCCCAGTGCATCGCTTATTCCTGAGCCCAGTACGTCACTAATTCCTGAGCCTAGTACGTCACTAATTCCTGAGCCCAGTGCGTCACTAATTCCTGAGCCCAGTGCGTCACTAATTCCTGAGCCCTAGTGCGTCACTGATTCCTGAGCCCAGTGCGTCGCTTATTCCTGAACCCAGTGCGTCGCTTATTCCTGAGCCCAGTGCGTCGCTTATGCCTGAGCCCAGTGCGTCACTAATTCCTGAGCCCAGTGCATCACTAATTCCTGAGCCCAGTGCGTCACTAATTCCCGAGCCCAGTGCGTTGCTTATTCCTGAGCCCAGTATGTCACTAATTCCTGAGCCCAGTGTGTCACTAATTCCTGAGCCCAGTGTGTCACTAATTACTGAGCCCAGTGTGTCACTTA